CTTGGTTCTATGGTAGGTCTTAAAGGGTTAAGAATGTACAGATGCAATGTTACACTTCCATTTTTGTTTTTCCATTACATAATTTGCATATTATTTACAAGCCTTTTTTCAAACAATTTGGACTGGCATTAGAAGCTGATTGATTGTATATTTTGTAGGTAGGTTTGCAGAGTGATAAAGTGTAAAGTTGAAGGTTCAAACTAAAAGAAACCTCTATTTAAATCTGTTTCTAATCTAGTCAAACATTCGTTCAGCCAAAGGCCAAAGTGCTCCATACTCAGCACCCATTTCAAAGGATTTAACAGTAAACAGTTTTCACTCCTCAAATGTCCTTGGATTTGCACATTCTTAGCATAATTGAATGGAGACTTTGTTGTGTAATTTTCCATCACATTTGAATATAATTTCAATAGGACATTCTCTCGCATTTGCATTGTATTTTGCCATAGATAATTTATCCATTGCCCCAGGAGTTCTCAGGATTATTTTAATGGTTCTTTACTGATGCTTATGTGACCTTGTGTTTTATTCTGAAATTACTGACTGCAAACAGACTAGTTTACTTCACATAATGCTAGAAGTGCAATGATTTTGTAGAATCAAGCCACTTAAAAAATAATTATGAAGGCTGTCGACAGTATCTATTCATGTGCTTATTATTTTACAGTGCTTAAACAGGTCATGCACTTTTTCTGTCTTATCCCAATTATTTATCCAACCACACGCCACCAAAGGCATAAAGCGACAATGTGAAAATGCAAGTCAACAGTGATTGCACTGCACTAAAAAGCACTGAGGTGGTGTTCTGGGTTTGAATTATTGGTCACCTTGAGAATTCTTTAAAATGGCAAATATGCTAATGTTTGACTGTGTGTAGGAGGTTCCTGAACGGTAAGAAAGATTAATAATAATGGGATGTCATACCCATTGTGTAAACAGTCGGGGAAACAGCAGTTTGTTTCTTAATAGAAGGCATTCCTGTGTGTTTGTTTTTGCCTTGATATTTTAAATGTGATTAGTCTTTTTCCTGTGAAATATCTACGTGGTTCAGTTGTGTTATATGACTTGTGTGCATGCAGTGTAGCACAAATGACCGTTGTCTCTGAAGTGTACAGAAACAGGTTAATGTGCAGGAGCATTAACCTTGCCTCCACAGGAAATGTAGGTTTGTGATGCAAATGAAATTCATAACCACCTGAGGAAAAACAATCTGTGTCTCTTGTGTCGATTAAGTGGGACATGAGTCGTCTGTCTTTGCTGTGTGCAGCAGGCAGAAGTAGAGGAGTACTAGGAATGATTTGGTTGTATAAAAAAGAAAGGGGAAGGACATTTTTTCATAATTTCAAACCTTCCCTCTATAAGACGATACATGTCCAACAAAAGTATCGTACTCATGACTCTTATAGTTTTAAGAAAATGTAACAGCTACCATCCATCCATCTTCGTTTACTTATTCGAGTCAAAGTCCTGTACAGCTCTTACTACTGCTGCACAGGGACTGGATAGAGGACCAGTATCCTGAACCAGTCCACACAGGTTCCTCTAAGGCAGACCTTCCCAAAGTGTGGGGGGCGCGGTATGAAAAGGGGGGAAAAAACAAAACGCTTGGACACTGCTAGCACGGGTGCCCCCAGAAACGCAAAGCAAGAGATGAAGCATCACTGAATATGTTTCCAAACCAACTTCATTCTAAGCCAAAGACTA